TTGGTCTGCTCCGTGTGAACACAGCTCTTAGACCGAAAATAAGAAACTTCCTTGTGCGGTGGAGGGAGGCTTCCTCCAGCGTCGTCTTCGTTGTCACTCGCTCAGAGGGTGCTTGCCCAAGGGTGGGGTGCTCTGGTCCTTTCTCTAACCTAACCAGTTTGGCATTTCGGAACGTACATCCTTGGGTCGGCCCCTCGGCAGGCCCTTCGGGGGGCGGGGACCGAGGACACTGAGGCGGTTCAGGCGCAGTTTCTCTTTGGGTCGCCTGGCACTAGTCTATTGTCCATGCTCCCTCCCTGGACTGTGAGCTTTCTGTGGGCAGGGGCCTCTGTCCCCACCGCCCAGCACAGGCTGGCACGTAGGATGTGCTCAAGCCAGAAGTCGTGTGGGACCAAGCACGGGGCACCGTTCTCTGCCCTCATGCCCCGTTGCCGGTGCAGGGCCTGCAGAAACGGGGCTGCTAAGGTCAGCGTTTTGTCGTCCCCCACGCAGGCTGGCCTCATCTCCGCATCCATCAGGTCTCCCAGGAGCCTTGGGAACGCAGATGGCTTGAGGGACCCCCAGGGGACGCTGAGCTCCACCCCTCACCACCTGGCGCCAGTCGGCATCAGCGGGCCGGTTGGGCTCTCCAAGCAGACCCCGCCTCCCCGAGGCCGGCCGGGCGGTTCCTGGGCTGCCCCCCCCACCCCGCCCCGCCAGCATCAGGGTCCGTGTGGCTGGCAGGGGTCACAGCCTCGGGGGGCTCGCGCTTACCTCTCCCCCTAGCTAGGCCTGCGATTGCGGGAGAGAGCCCGCCGTCGCCGAGCCTCAGCGAACTCTTCTGTAAGCTGGACACGACGCAGCAGCCTGTGCAGTAGGCGACCGACACGGCGCAGGCGGGTTTATCATCACCGTGCCCCGATGGGAGGCAGGGGGCTGAGGAGGGCCCCCGGGCTCTGCACACTGTCCTCTCAGTGTGCCCGAGGCAGGTGCGGTGACACCAGCTCTTTTCTCCGTTTCTGTCCTCAAAGGTGCAGGAACGTGCTCGCTGGGCCTCGCCGCCTCAGTGACAGCCTCCGCTTGTCACCCAACAAAGGCCAACCTTGACGGCGCCTTCCCCGTGGCTTTCTGGGGCCATGTTAACACGCCTGATGGCAGCTGCAGCTGCCTCCCAGAGACCTGGTAATGAACGCTGTTTCCAAATCCCGACATGATTTACAACATGCTTTGTTTACACTGTTGTGGAGCCGAGGAAACGTGTGTTCGAAGTGGCCCAGTGGATTCTGGGAGAGGAAGGGGGTGCCGTTTCTGGGATGCTGAGGTTTCTGGGGGCTCAGCCTGGAGTCTAGAAGGGGAGGGAGAGTAGTGGGGGTAGGGAAGGGCCACAGGGGACCCACTCCTTTGGGAAGGGCTCCTAGTCTTTGGGGGATGCGCTGGCACACAGTGGCAGCAATCGATCCCTCCCTTCTGCATCCTGAGGGTCCCCGTGAGCCACACCCCATGGCTCCGGGTTGGGCAGGGAGGGGGAGGCTTGAGAGGGTTTGACAAGGCGGCTCTCTGAGAGCTGGGCAGTGTGGTCAGGGTCTGAGAATGGCCGTGAGCACGGTGGGTCCTGAGGACGGGCAACAGGGGGACTCAGGAAAGGGGCCCAGGGCCCGGCTGCGGGCTGGGGGCATCAGAGAGGCAACCCCACCAGACCCGCAGGCGTCCCGCTGGCCGAACGACCCGGAAGCCTGGGGGCTCAGGGCCCGTCGCCTGGTCCCTGTGGCGCGGCCTCCTGGGGCCCACAGGGAGGTGGCGAAGGGCCCACGTGCTCTGAGGGGCCGTCAGAATCGTCAGCGCCTGGTTGAGGGGTGGCAAACCCGGGGACCGACAGGGCCGAGCGGGTGTGTCGCCTGAGGCCGAGGGGGAGAGTGTGGCGGATCAGCTTGTTCATCGCAGGATGGGGAGTGGCCCCGGGCGGCTGGATCTTCCAGTTTTTTTGTGGACCCTGGGAATTTTTTTTTAATTTTAATTTTAATTTCTTTTTACATGAATTACCTCTTAATTTTTCATTTTAGCAGGAAGGTCAAAACTTTTCAAAGAAGACATTTTGCAAGCGGGACTCATGGAACGGGTCGGTGGGCGGGCCTGACTCCCACAGCCACCGGTCGGCGCCTGCGGTCACGGGGGCCGTGCGATAAAAGGGGGCGCGGCGGTCGAGGGGCGCTGCCCCCCGGGGGCTGGGCTGCACCCGCCACGGTCGGCTGTGACCCCAGCGCCGCCCTGAGTGTTGTCCCTGACGCCCCCTCCCTGCAACGCCCTCTCCGTCTCAGAGAGCATTTATCCCAATGGGAGACCCTACGTTTCTTTGCTCCTGTATTTACGCCGTCCTGCCCTCCCCGAGGACGAGCCTTGGGTCTGGTTCCAACCTTACCCCCAGGGCCAGGCCTTCGGGAAGTGTCTGCCCTCGCCCCTCCTCAGGGGCTGGTGGTGGTACTGGTAGCGGCGAGAGTGGCTGTCATCGTCACAGTCGTCACCCAGGTTCTGCAACTGAGGACACGGAAGCATGGGCAGGAAGTGTCGGAGTGGGGACTCAACCCCGTGACGGACTGGGTCTCAAGGCCCCTGCTCTTCGCTTGAACAGCGGCTCACTGGGAGGCGCCTGTTAGATCTGAACGTAAGCCTTACCTTCTCCAGGAAGCCCTCCCAGACTTACCCGCCAGCCAGGGGCAGTGCTGCCTTTGGGCTCCCTGGCCCCGCGCCCCTCTGCCCAGGACGTCCCTCTCCGCACGTCATTCTCCTGCTTCCCCTCTCTTGTGCCTGGGCTGTGGAGTTCACCTTGAAGGCAGAGAGCTCGTTTTCTCCCTTATTCCACTCCCCATCCCTCACAGCCCAGTGCCTGGCGGGTGCCAATAACAGCGATCCTAATAGCACTGAAAAAGGGGAGGATTCGTTCATGAGCGACTCCTGTGTGCCAGGACCTGGATTTTATTTACTCTTCACCGCATCCTCGTTTTACAGACCAGGAGCCTGGGAGTCAGAGAGCAGCGTGCCAGAGGCTACGCAGCTGCCCAGAGGGGAAAGTCGGATTCAGACCCGGTCCTGCCTGTCCCCGTGGCCACCACACGGGCCTTTAACCACCAACCACCAACCACCAACCACCAAAGGCCTGGCAGATCCCCTTGCAGGTACTTCTTAAATACCAGACAAAGGGGCGGGCAGTCTTGTTAGGGAAAGGGCCGGAGAGTGAACTCTCATGGCTTTGGGGCCGCATGGTTTCCATCGGAATGACTCCACGGTGCTGCCAAAGCGCAAAAGCAGTTCTGGCAGCATGAACACAAATGGGCGTGGCTGTGTTCCAATAAAACTTTATTTACAAACACAAGTGGTGGGCCGGATTGGGCTGTGGGCCTCAGTTTATAGACCCCTGTTGTATGTTGACGAATTAGCGATGTCAATGTTACAAGGCCTTCTGGTTTCAGAGAAATGATAATGTGGAAAGACCACAGAATCGTAGAGCCTAGGGAATTTGGTATTTGTTGAAAGAATGAGTGAATGAGTGAATGATTGATTCAGGTGCATGCCCCTGAGTGTTGGGCAGGAAAGGCGAGTACCTAGTAGTTTCATGGATGTCCAGTGAATGTCCCCCGGGTGGCCTTTACTCCTCCTTGGGGAGCATCCCTGTCTGCAGGACCTAAGGGGGACACTGAGGCCCCCGGAGACCAGGGGTTCTTTCAGCCGACCAGCCACCACGGGTGTGGCGGGAGCCAGGCTCCCCAGCCCAAGCCCCCGCGTGGCTGACGGGACACAGTTCCTCGTCAGCTGAGGACGCCTGCCCAAAAGCCGCAGCAGGTGCACAGAGCAAACTCCCCAAGTCCGCATTCGGTGCGCACCTTTCCTCGTGGCTCGGGGGGAGAGGGGTCTGTGCACACGGCCCCACCTCAGGCGGCTTAAGCACATTGCGCCTCGCGACGCACAAAGGTGCACTGGCCAGTCCCGCCCCCCAGGAGCCCGCCCACGCGTGCGATTCCAGGAGGGACTCAGTCACAGCTGCTGCGCGCTCGACGCCAGCCCCTCCCCCATGCCTCCTATGAAGAGCCGCGTTCCGCGGGGCGGGGGTCTGTGATAGTCTCCACCGCACACCCGCTGTGTGCGCAGGCCGCTCCCGCTGTCCGGGGGCCATTAACTCAGATTTTGAATAGGAGGAGAAACGAGGGGGGCCGGGGCGTGAACTCCTAACAGTCGCAGCGGACAGCAGTGTCTTGACATAGACGGCGAAGTAGCTTGGTGGAGGGCAGGGACGGCACATGTGGGCACACAAAAAGCTCCCACGTCCCTAAGCAGACGGTCATCACCTTGAGCACGCAGGCTGGCCAGCAGGGGCGGGCTGCGGGCTGGCCAACAGCTCCCATCCGACACCCAGCTCATTCCTGCCCTGGGTTACCGACCTGCCGGCTAGCCTGGGCCGCCTTTGGCACATGTCCCCTCCTTGGCCTCAGAGGGGGTTTCTAACCTGGGGCACTGAGACTTTTGAGAGGCCGGGAAAGCTGAGGCGAGGCCCTGGTGGGCGCCTGGAGGGCCTTGCCTGGTGCATAGAGGGGCGAGGGGAGCCATGCTCCCTGCGCCTGCCTGGGAAGAGGGGCCCCGGCCAGCCATTCCGACTCAGTGGCTGTGGGGGTTTGACCAAACCCACAGTTTCGGATCTCCCTGTAGGCTCTTTCAGAATCCTCCGAAGCTCCGAAGCTCCGGGGGTTGGGCCGATGGATGCTTCCACTGTGCTCACCATCCTCCGCAGGGAGCGGCCTGTTGGCAGCCAGTCTCGCCGATGAACTGGGAGTTTGGGGGGCTGGGGCTGGGCGTCTTGCTCGGGGCTGCGCTCTGAGACCAGGCCAGTCGAGAGCGCAGAGGAAGGGCGAACTAGATGGAGAGAAAATGGAGAGGATCCTAAATGAGCCCAGAAAAGGCCAGGCAATCCAGCAAAGGGAGGGGGATGGGAGGCGAGCTGGGGCAGGGGAGAGGAGGTCGGTGTGGGGCGATGC